ATTAAGTTTACATTAAGTAGAATTTTAAATCACCCGCTTTTCATCTGATCTCGGAATAGAAAGATTCATTTTATGTCTTGAATATAACCTCAAGTGAGGAGTTTTATTTTAAAAATATATTCTTTAACATCCTTTTCTTAATTGTGGTCATTCTGTCTGCTTTTGCATCATCAAACTTTATATTCCATTTTGCCTATAAAACAAAAGTTGGTACAAAAAGTATTTAAAAAAAACTTTGTGAACATGCAATTTTTATATTTTTGCATGTGTTTCGTGATTCAGACAGACATGTTATAGTAGTGGTGGCACTTTATAATAGATACTTTAAATATAATGTGTATTACATTATGAAAATAACCTCTCAAATTATTTAATTTTTATTCTAATGTCTGAATATTTTATTTGAGAATGGTATGAAATTAAACTTATTCTGATATCAAAACAAAACTCAGTTTTGTGAATATTATACAAAATCAAACAATAGTTCCACAGGTTCGAATAAAGTATGAAGTTAATGTCTTTAAGTTAAGCAGAAATAAAGTGTGAACCACTGAAAGGTGCAAACTTTCAATATAATGATCTTACAAAGTTGCACTTCTGAAGTGAATTCAATGAGACTTCATCCATTAGACTTATGAAAAGCAATGGGGTTTTTTTTTTACGCTTTGATCTCCAGTTATATTTATCTGAGAACTTTGGAATCTCTCCATTTGCTAAAATAGCATGATTATTTTAAACAGAGTAAGTGATATCAGTAATATTGGTGGAGGACAAAACATCTCTGCTATTTTTTTTAGCATGCACTTACTCAGTCCTTAGGCTCTTCTCAAGGCTTTTGTATTCCTGTAGAAAAATGTCTTGTGTATCATCAGTGTGTTGGCAGAAAATGTTGCTTCTAAAGATCAGGCAATGCAATTTGCAAGAGTGACAGACTTTCCTATAATTTCCTGTTACATATTTTAAGAACACTGCAATTTTACGCAGCGTAAAATATGCTATAGAGTTAATAGCAGAAGACTTGGCTTGTGGTAATTTTTTACGGTCTCTTTGTATTTCAGAATCTGATGACATGATCCCTGTAAAGTGTTTAAGAACTCAGACGTTAAGCTATGATTTATTAAATAACATTTTACTAGTAATTATGTTCAGATGTGTTGTATTAATGTTACCCTTAAAAGTGTAAGCCCACAAAATATTTATATTAACATATTTTTGTGCTGAAAGTAATTAGTAGCCAATTAATGATTTTTATCTGATGTTAAAAGGATATTCTCATCAGACATTTCAAATGTGTAGTTGAGATGAGCTGCATACTGAAAACAAAAAAGGCTTCTTTGTATCTGTCCAGCTTTTTTCATGTCTTGAATACTCAGAAAATATGATCTCACAGTAGCTTCATAGATTCTTTGATTCTCTCTTGAAATATTTTTAAATACTGTCCATATATTACCTTTGTACTCTGAGGACATGAATTCTTAAATTGCCATAGCAACTGTTTGTAAGAAGTTTTGAGATATGCCTTTTGTCAGGTGCAACTATCGATTTAATGGCACTCCAAGTTATAACACATAATCAGAAGAGCTAATCATTGTCTACAGTACACAAAAAGCAATTACCTTTATTTTCACTACGTGTGTATTTGATTGGCAGAAATTGCACTAAAACATGAAGGCTTCTCCAAGCTTTAAGATGGTTCACAGGAAAAATATGTTATTCTCCTAGACTCTTCTGAGATGTACAGAATTGCCAAAACTGCACTGTTACCTTTTAGATGAAAAATAATATCATTTTTTTATACCTGTAAATAGTACATTTTCCAGTGGCTAGATAGCTAAATTAGACATAAAACAGAAGAGATGCTGAAGGAATGGTAGTAGAGATACATAGATACTAAAGTCTTAGCTGTTTGTGTCAAAAATACTGCCGGTTTGTCAGGAATAAAAACAGTGAACTATCTATGTTTAATGTGTTAACAGCTGAAATATTTCAGAAAGTTTGATTATCTTTCTAAATCAGTCTGTGAGTACTGTTAGCTAGCACAACTTGTAAATCAGGCAGTGGTTTTCACAAATATATTCATTAGTTATAAGAAAGGTATTCTCAGTGCTTGATAACTCAGATGAGGTGGCTTGTAATTGCTTCTTTGTCAACTGAAATAATTTTGATGTAGTAACAGCCTCTCACATAAAATCAGTGCCTTTTTAATCAGAGCAAGTATTTGCACCCCCATTTTCTTCTTCTCTTAAAAGGAGAATGGAATTAATACACATGTAGCATGGCCATAGGTAATAAAAACAAAATACCTGAAACCAGATCATTGTCTGTTAAACAAGTATAGCATATATATCTCTACTGTGCAGCATTGTTTTGGATATTTGGGACTAATTGTCTAAATTGGAACTAAAACTGTTAATCTATGATGTGGTGTAATACAGACTAATACACTCAGAAACACTGTACTCATTGAACTCTTAAAATAATAGGGATTAGAGGCAACGTATCAGAAATTAGATTCAGATTCTAATGCTACTGGTGAGAATTTCTTAGCTATACATTATAGAAGAAATTTATATTTTTCCAAATGAAGATGGAAAATAAATTATCTTTTTCTGCATCTTTTCTCATTTTGACTTCCTTATACTTCCTGTCAAACTTGAAACAGGGAAATGGCTTTGTCTCCTTTCTCACCTTTTCTACATACAATTAGGTTTTGCCACTATTCCTTCACACAGCTAAAGCTCCAACATTCATCTCATGTCCCAAGTTTACCTCTAACATTCATTATTTCATCATCCTCTCAGGACTCCCCAGGTCTTGTAACATTTCATATAGTTCAGTCAAAACGTAGCCCCAGAATTAACCTTTTGGTCAGGTGCCATTTCAATTTTGATTTTCTCAAAGGGTTCACCTTGCCCACTACAGACTAATTTTTTGTTCTTTATTGAGAATACTCCAGAATATTCCACTACTCTGTGTCTTTGTTCCTTTGTTTTATTTCCTACCATCTCATCAGGATTTACAGCCTGAATGACCATTCTATTGAACTTTTATAAAACTTTTGCAACTGTCTCTGCTTATTGTCCATTTCGTCCAGTAAGGACTATTTTCTCAAGACTGAATACAGGACATCCTATATTGCATTAGGTATTGACACTAAGGGAACTGAATTTCACCCTAAAACCTCAGTTTTAAAGTATAGATCCGTAGTCAGAATTGTGCGTATAGTTGACTCATTTTCCTGCTGAATGCCATACCCTATTTCCTATGCCCAAAAGAAATGAAAATCAAAGAAGATAGATGATAACAGTTCACAAGGAATTGTAGCTATACCTGCTGCAGTCATGTATTAAAATTATGGTACTCTTCAGTTTCAAAAGATACCTTTGCTGCCTCAGGTTCAGAAAGAAAGCAGAGATAGCTTCACAAAAAGGCAATAAGATGTTAACAAACCTTGTATATCGTCAGTAAATGAGGATGATCTCATTCCAACATTTCCCCTAAACTTGCATTTGCTTTACACCTTTAACAATTCAAGGGAGATGGAAAAGTGTGTTTCAAGGAGGTTTTCTAGCACATGCTTCAACTTACCCATGGCTTGTGACCAGATAATTAATTTTAGAGGAAACTCTCCACCTGTCTACACAGAAGAAAACAGATGCCAATGCATTTTTATTTATCTTCCTCAAAAGACACCCACCATAATCAGGGACCTGAACTAGAAAGCATAAGGAATGCAAATTATCAGAATGAGATCATAAAGACTGCACATAGTGCTACTACCTTATCAGCACTTCAGAGAAAATTCTTTAAAAAATTTAAGAACTGAGAAATGAATTTATATTTTGGTCAGTCCTTGCCGTCTGTAATCCCCACTGGTGCCATGGCATACATTAAGCAGCACTCAGCAGCTGCTCCTAGCAGATAGCTTTTTAGTTTACTGAGTTACCTGAACTCTCCCTGGACTATGCTTTTGTCTCACCATTTTCATCCATGTATCTTGAAGTCTTACAGAAAATGAAGAGATGTTTAGAAGTAGGAAAAAACCCTAATAGAAACCACCCTGTCATAAGTTTAAGTGTGCAAGAGAATCTTGGTGTTACTATGGGCTTCTCCAACGGTGGCCTTTTGTATCTAGTAGATTCAGAAAATACAGACTTTAATAGCTGACTGTCTTCATTCATATGATTCTCTGAGAGGGCATGTATGTGTGCTGCAGATAGGAGACCAAATAGTTTCCACAGTGCAAAAAATTCAGAGGAATTTCGGCTTTTTTTTCCTTTTATCTTCTGCTTTGCGGTTCACAGAAAGCTCAGCATGCTTTGTACACTGCTAACCTGTCATAGCTACTGAACATGATTTGCCTCCATATTCCTGTGGCTGGAAATAGCTTCTTCTGTTACAAATCAAAGCAACCCCTTTTGTATATTACAAATCTACATGTCACTATACCATCTTTGCTCTTAATTATTTCATCCTCTCTCATTTGCATTTTTCCTCATTAAGTGTTCTTTAGTGATTTGATCACCTTCCTTCTTTGTATTAAACAAAGAAAGAGAAATGTCTAATATAACAGGACTGACAACTTGCTTTAGAACATAGGCTGAACTGTACTATTACACATCACTGTGTAAATTAGTGTTGGCCGCATTTTCATATGCAGTCATACTTCACAATTCTTTTTTAAAGACATGAAAGAAAATTATTCACAAAACTGGACAAAAATTGCTTGAATACAGTAATTTTGCATAATGGAAAAAAACTCCAGAAGTATGCTTAACCTCAGTAAGAAAGCCTTCTATTTTCCTGATTGTCACACTTCCAACTTTGCCTGTCAAAATGGACTGTCTTGTAACCAATGAAGGAGAAAAATTCTTGACATACAGGATGTCTATCAGTAGTCCTGTGTACTCAGTAAGTGTACCTTGGCCAGTGGGGTCAGCACATAGACTGTGACAACTCACAGCCTTTTTTCTTTTTTTTTCTTTAATTCAAACTTTCAGGAGAAACGTGTTCTGTTCATGTGAATGAATGTCTAGACAGACCCTGTTGGAATGGAGGAACCTGTGAAGAGGACATAAGGGGCTTCAAATGCAATTGCCCATTTGGTAAGTATTTATACTTTTTATTCAATTGCTAGTTTGGAATATTGTGGTTGTGTGACTTCCACATCTGCTACTCCTGTGCTATAAAGCCTTATACAGTGATAGCATTCTGCTTACATTTTGAAAGGTACAGAGCTAGTTATCCAGACTAATAAAAATATTTTTTTCTTATTTTTTAAATTCATCATAATGAATTATTTTAAATAATAAGCCACATAGATTAAAAAGTACTTGTAGTACTCAGACAGCCTGCTAAAGAAATATGACAGAACTGGAGAGTTCAATTATTTAGTGCCTATTTGTATAGACACCTTACAGCAACATGTTCTTTCAAAAAATGTAGGTTTTAGGCAGCAAAATTTAGAAATTGAGCAAACATACAAAATCTTGGTCTTTGAAATCCTATTCTGCTAGTCAAATTACTTATACCTAAAAGAACTGAACACTGCTTTAATGTTTGTATGACCTCAATCTGGTCATGTGTACCTGAGCATGTGTACTTCGTGGCATTTTAAGTATTCAAAGTATTGTATAAGGGTGGACATGGTAGAGGATATAAGGGACATCCAAGATGGATCAGGCCAGGTGGCCAGTGAAATAAGAACAAAGTAAAAAGACCAATCAAAATTAAGGGAGAAAGATATATAACATTGAAGATTTTACTTTGCTAATTATATATACTCTGTTTAATCTGGGATTTTGCATATCATTGTGTATTGACTAAACAAATATAGAAGAGGCTGGGCTAAGAATTCTTGACCATAGAAATCCTTTGACTTGGATAGTCAGCTTTCTCCATTTTTGTTAAACATTGTGGCAAAAAAAGCCTGGGGTAGAGATTTTGCAACTGCTAGTTCATTCATAAATATAGATGAGAAAATACTGATAAATTATGAAAAGGTTTTTGTTTTGACATGCGTTTATAAGCTCGTTGTTAATATGGAAAATAACATCAGAAAAATTAATTTTATACTGTACTGTGGTGTTTCAAAGATACTGATGGTGATCAGTAAAACCTGGAAATGTCAGAGCACTGAAATACAGGTCTCCAACCATCCTTCTCAACTAGAACAACTGATTTAAAGAGGACTTTAATATAGTTAATATCAAGAGATCCTTAAATTCTTTGAGGGTGGTATTCCACTGAGTTGGGAACTGAAGACAATACTGAGTGATATCTTCAAAGGTAAGGTGATGGGTGATGCTTTCAAGTTTGTTGCTTCATTGGGGCAAATGTAAGCATGTCAAGCGTTTCACTGAATAAGGGCTGTAAGAAAACATTAACACAGACATTATCTCCTTTGCTCTTCTGAGATTCTCACGTGTTTAACTCTTGTTGCTAAAACTTTTACCCGTAGCGGATTTTTAAACAGAAGCATTCTGCACCTCCTTTCACAGATGTGAGAGGAGATCTCTTTCATGCACTGCGTGTCAGTGATAGGAAAGAAAATTGTTGTGACATTGTCTTAGTAGATTGTTTGTGCCTCTTTCTTTAAAGAAAAGTCAGGCTGTAAACTTTTTCTTATCCAATTAATTTTTGTTATAATTCTCAGTGTGTGCATATCATCTGGAACAATGAAGTTTATGTAATGGACACATACAGTAGAAATTATGAGTTTCATTCTATTGACTCGAATAAAATGCTGTGAATAGCAGTGGTTCTTTTACATCATCAGTCAAATGATCAAAAAAAATTCACAGTGAATCAGGAGTTATCTGTAGAAATGATCAGTTATTTTTGAAAAGGGTTAACACTTGCTGTATTACAATTTGCAGTTCCATTACTAATATAATAGCAAACTGAATTAAAGAGGGAGAAAATTGCGTGGTGATGTGCATACCTAACAATGAGCTGAAAAGAGGAGAATTTTAATCTAAATGTGATATGGATTCCATTTGTGCCCTTGGGTATTAATATCGCAGTTCATAGTCTCTGGGTGAAGGTGTAGATAAACAAATGTAACCATGTCACAAATACATTGTAATGATTAAGTAATGTCTGTAAATTGCCTGAAAACACAAGTTGCTACATTATAAGGTAGGATAATTCTACTACTAGCTCAGTTCTAACAAAAGTATCACTTCAAAAGATAACACAGTTAACTTAAGTTGTTTCAGTTTTCAAACATATAGAGTTCCTTCATCCTTGAGTAGTATGATTTCTCTTCCTGTTAAGAAATCAGAACTATATATATTTAGCAAATCTAAATATATACATTTAATTGCATGTGCTAATTTTATGAAAATACACCTTGTGCTTTCTTAGTCACTTTCAAGTAGTTCAATGTCTTAACATGTGGTCAATTTTAATTCTTAAACTGTTATTTTTATATGACAAATCTTCTTTTCACAGCTTTAAAAATAATTCATTACATTCTCTACAGCAAAGCCAAGATATTTCTTAGAAATTATTTCAGTATTCCATCCTGCTGTTGATAAGATATTATCACTAAATAGGACGAAATGAGGTCATTTAATCATACAGGTCATTAATTCCCATAAATGTATCCTGGCATCGCTGGAAACCTGACATAAAAATAGATAACTAGAGTAAATTCTTTCCTTTTAAGCAATTTGTGTTTTTTTTGTTTGGTTTGTTTTGTTTTTTGCATGTTTGGTTTTGTTCTTTTACTATACACTAATTTTGTGAAGAAACCCATCCATCAAAAAGTATAAAAAGGTATATGGACTCTTCTGGGTCCATTTTTGTGGATTTTTGTGGCAGAGCACAATCATCTTTTGCATCTCAAGCTAAGAAAGAGTAATATACAAATGGATCAAATAGAATCAGGCAATGTCTTTAGATATTGTATGAAATAATTATGTAGCTCCTTTTTTTTCTGTGTAGAAGACATGTCTCTTTCAGGTGAACATCGTAACTATCTTTTGAAAGTGTTTAGCAGGAAAGTAATTTTATAATAATATAGCCTACAGACATATTCTGATGACCTTATACAGGAGATTTTACAAGCATTACTTTTGCACTTTAGCATTTTAGACAATAGTATTTCCATTTACCTGGTGAACAGTGTTGGTTGATTATGATGTATGATTATCAACAGTGAATTTTTTTAAGGGATTTTTTTAAAATAATGTTAAGATTGCGTCCTTTTATAGGTCTTTCTTTTCTGGGACATAGAACATACTACCTCAACACTGTTTGTTTATCTATATAACTTTATCTGTATATATATGTATATATATATGAATGTATACATATCTGAAAGGTGTATATTTCTATACCTATACCTTCCTAAAAGAGTAGCTTCTGGAAAAGTGATCTCTGCTTCCCACTCAATATATGGACCATTGTGGACAGACTTGGCATTGACACTACATGACCAGCACCTCCAGACACAGAAGTTTCTTGTGCACAAGCAAATTTCCAGTCTTCATGGAGAAAGGGTTGTGACATTGGAACTCATCATTAGACCTAAACTGAAAGAGTTAAATGAAATAATTGAGCCCCAAGTTTTGTTTCAGATATCTAGAACAGCATGGTTTAAAGGATTTGGTTGTGTTAGGTGTTCACAGCAAGCTGCTGACAGTGGGGGCCACAGGCCGGGACTGCCCTGTGCCGGACAAAGCCAGTTCCAGCCGGCTCCAACCCACTCAGCACAGGGCACGTCAGAGGCCACAGCCGAGGGGGGGCATCTTGGAGAAAATATATTTAAGGAAAGGTGAAACACTACACGGAAATGTGTGAGAGAGAGCAGTGCAGAAAGAATGTGAGAAACAGCTCTGCAGCCACCAAAGTCAGTGAAGAAAAAGGGGGACAAGGTGCTTCCAGCGCCAGAGCAGAGATGCCCCTGAAGCTTGTGAAGAAGACCATGGTGAGACCTGCAGTCCACAAGGGTCCATGGTGGAGCAGATTTCCAGCTGCAGCCAGAGCAGGTGTATGTGTCCTGGAGGACAGGGCTGGAGGAAATTGCAGCCAATAGAAACCCACACTGGAGCAGGCTGTAGCTTGTGGAGAGGAATCCCAAGCAGGAGTAGCCTTTCCATGAAGGACGGCATCCCGAGAGATGCCCCATGCTTGAACAACTTTATCCTGAAGGACTGCAGAATGTGGGAAAGACTCACATTGGATTAGTGAAAGTGTGAGAGGGAAGGAGCAGCAGAAGAGAGCTGTTGTGGACTGACTTCAACCCTCATTCCCCTTTCTCCTGTGCCATTTGGTGGGAGGATGTAGATAAGGCAGTAATAAAAGAATGAAATTGAGACTGAGAAAAAGAGGCACAGGGTAGGTCAGGTGGAAAATGTTTTAGTTTTTGCTTTGTTTCACACTATCCTACTCTATTTTTAATTGACAATAATTTAAATTTATTTTCTCCAAGTTGAGTTTGTTTATCCCATGATTCTCACTAGGAAGTGGTCTCACTGTCTTTATCTTAATCAATGAGATTTTTCATCTTTTTTTCTCCCCCCATCCTGCTGAGGAGAGGGAATAAGAAAGCAACTAGCTAGGTGGGGGTCTGGAATCCATCCAAGCTGAACCCACCACACACCCACAAGCACCAGTGTTGTAAATCAGCAGATTTAAGAAAAAGAAAATTGGAACTTTCATTATTTTAACCTCCTCAAGTCTGTCTTGCACCAAAGGATTACTTTTGTAGCAAGAAAGTTCTATAAATTCAGGTTATTAATTGAAAAAATTAACATAAGGAATTTTTAATAAGATTCTTAAAATATGGGGAAAGCACCATAAGCCCTATAAGCAGGGTGTAAAAGTCCTTAACAAACCTTCTGCTCAGAACTGTGATAGAGACAAATGCTGCACCTATAGCAGCTATGCCTGGAAGACGGCACTAGAAAAGCAAGGAATTCCAAAGAGTCTGAAATCTGTGTTCCAACACAGCAAGAAGTCTTTCAGTGTTAAATAATACCATCTGGTAAGATGTTTTTCATCAATTTGATCAGAAGAAACTGCAGCCTCTTTACTTGGAGCAGAGAAAACCTCCAGTCAGAACGAAAAATACTAAGGAAAACATGATAGGCACAGT